CTGCAAAGCCCAGGGGCCAAGAGCCAAGCACCTACAGACACAGAACACAGCCCAGGATCAGCCCATCAGGACCAGAAAGGTCCAGCTCGAGGCTTTGGACACAAAAAACTGGCCAAGGAGGGTCAGGTCACCACCCAATAACTGGACACTCGCTGCTTGTTTCCAGCCTCCTGCAGAGTTTCCTCCTCTTACATTGTTCCTCCTCCTCCTCTACTTCAGTGTGTCCAACAGAGGTTTGACAAAGCTGTTAAAGCAGTGTTCATGGCTCAGACAAGAGGGGGAGATGTTGAAACCCTGGTTGCTGAAGAATTTTAGACTTTCTGTTCTGACAGATCTGACCCCCAGGAGAACACTGCATTTTTGACCTGAGGCCGTGGAGAAGGCTTCCAAAATTGAATGACAGAACTGAGATTATGGGTGTGTAGTTTGTTTAGAAGTGTGTAACACTACGTGGTGCAAAACTTAAGAGTTTAATGTTTTAGAATATATAATAGATGTGAAGCAAGACAGAGGTTTTAAGGCAGAGGCTAATCCTTCTTCTTCACAGGTTTGAGTAATATTTTCAGTAATTAGACAGAAAAGTCCACATTGGGGGACACAAGTGATTAGTAACTGAGTTAAAAGTGAAAATAATTTAAGTGTCATTTCTTAATTAGATAGTTTTTCCTTAAAAGACCATATAGAGATAGATACAGGGCCATTTTGTAGCTTGTTAATGAAATGCTGTAGAACTCACAGCTTGTGAGACTGTGATAGAGACAAGAAATAATAAACTTCTGGGTCTGAACACAAAATACCATCTCGAGCACTTTCAATCTCAGCCTTGGTAATAAAAAAAGCAAAGAACCAGCAGCTCCTATTCCACAAATTCATCCTGCTGTGCTCCAAAGAGGAGCTCCACAGTTCCTGTCACTGCAGGAACCCCTGACAGCATCACCTCACTGGAGAAGCCAGCTGGGACCAAGGCTGGATCTATGTCACCACCACGGTGACACTCCCCAAGCCCAGCCACTGAATCCCACAGACAGTCAGCAATGCCTCCCCAAAAAACCCCCAAATCAGCCCAGTACTCACCTTCCAGGTGGTGTTGAGCTTGTTTATGTGGTTGACCAGGTCATCAGAGAAAGGAGGGAAGTAAGGAATGCTGCGAGCGTTGGCAATGGCCACCAGGACACACAGGAGGGACACGGCCGGCCACATCCTGGCTGCTGAACAGGACACTCCACCTGCAGCCAGATTGGAGCATTGCTGAAACATTCCCAGGGTGGGCTCAGCTGCAGCAACACGTGGGATGATAAAATGTGTGGCTGCACCAGATCCCTCCAGATCCCCAGCTGCCCCAAAGGTCAGGAGAGAGGCACAGGAACAGAGCAACAACAAAACCCCTGGCAGCTCAGGAAGGACCAGACAAGGCAACCTTGTTTGTTGACCACTGCAGGATTAGCAGCAGCAAGAAAATACCTTTTGAAGCAGATCCAAGGGATTTAGAGGGTATTAAAACCTGTGTTTACTTCCACAACAATGGAGAATAAGGACCAGGAGAAGGAACAAGTGGCATCCCATCTCCACACTAAACTTCAGGCATGGGATTTGATAGGCCCTGCTCTTCCCTTTAAAGATATGACTCCAAAATACATTTTTAAGAGCCTCATTTTGGCCAGCCCTTTGCTCTGGGGGTGTCACAGCCCCTGGTGTGACCCCCGTCCATGCACAGGGGGGTCAGCATGCACCAGAGCTGCCTGTGGCTGCCATCCTCTGCTCCCCTCCCACTGGGGCTTTTCCCCAGGAAGGTGCAGGGAAGCAGCAAAGCCCCAGTTTGGGAATCAGAGATGCAGAGGAAGAGCAGCAAAGAAAGGACCACAGCCTCCCATGCAGGAGCACAAGCACCATCCAGCCCACAGACACCCCAGGGCTCTGCGGTTTCCCTGCTCCCCTTTAACCTAATTCACATCGAATTGCCCAACTTCAAATTAACCCCCAGCGCCAGCAGCCACTTGTTCCACGTCCCCACGTCTGACTCAGACACATCATGAGCTCCTTTATCTCTGCAAACACACCAGGGCACCCTCCTCCTCCTCCAAACCCTCCCAGCTCCCTCCCACCAGCCCCACATCCACCCCAAGCCTGCTGAGCACTCCAAGACCTCAGATCCTTCACAGCAGAGATATTCAGGCTTTAATTCCTGCTCAACTCAGCGAGCTGAAGGTGAAATCACCTTTGCAAGCCCGGCTTTAAACCGGACACACAGCTCCTGCCAGCAGCCCCACAGCAGCAGAGCTGGATGAGCAGGGGCTGGGGATGGAGACACACACACACACCTCCCTGCCGGCTGCTTCCACCCACTCCCAGCCAAGTTTAGCCTTCCCAGAGAAGAAAACCCAGCAGGAGTGTCCTACTTTCTGCCAGCAGTGAGCCCAGGCGGCTGCAGCTCGCTGTATAAAGGGGCTTTTTTCTCCTTTCCCACTCCTCCTTCCACCATTTATTTATTTGTTCCCCCTGCTTTGTGCTTTCAGCAGGACACACAAAAAAAAAAAAAGCTGTTTCAGCAGCACTTGGGTCCTCCCACTCCTAAATATCACCTCTTTGAAGGGGTTTTATGCATATTTTTCAGGGGTTTCATGAATATTTTCTTGCTTAGAGGTTACTGCAGGCAAGGGACTAGCTGGCTGTGCTCCCCTGCCTACACAGGAGGTTACACCCAGGAAAATAAATATGCACTTATAATGCAACTGTGCTTTTTGGCCACAACAAGCCACAGGAAGCCTGCAGATAACCAGCCTGAGCTGAAGCATCTTTTAAATGAAAAATCTTATAAAAATAATTTTAAAAAATGGACACAAGCAAAAATATCAAACCCCACAACCCTCAGTACTTCCTGCAGTCAGCTCGGTATTTTCCCGTAGCATAGGCAGGAGGTGTTTTTGAGGCCAGAAGTCACATGATTTACACTTTTTTTCTTCCTGCAGGATGTTTGTAAATCTGCTGACAGGCTGAAAACCACCCTGCCAGGCATGGATGTGCTGCTCACACCCAGCTTTTGAGGGACAGACACGGCACATCTCCCAGCCTCGGGTTACCAGACCACGCTCTCCAGGCAACCCGAAACCAAACTGAAAATAGATCCCAGCAGTTTCCCCTGAAAGAGGCAGAGTTTCAGCTCTGGTGCCTTGCATCTGCACCATGGACGTGGCCCAGGGCCAGCAAACCCAGCAAAGCAAATAGCTGGGAGCCAGATGGCTCTTGAGGCAAAAAAAAACCCCTCTTGCCAAGTCTCCTGTGGGCATGGAGCCTCCTCAAGGGTCGTGAGAGAGATGGAGGTGTCCAGCATAGGGAAGAGAAGGCTCCAGAGAGACCTCAGAGCCCCTTCCAGTGCCTAAAGAGGCTCTAGGAGAGCTGGAGAGAGACTTGGGACAAGGCATGGAGGGACAGGACACAGGGAATGGCTTCCCACTGCCAGAGAGCAGGGATGGATGGGATATTGGGAAGGAACTGTTACCTGTGAGGGAACAGGTTGCCCCAAGAGATGGGGGATGCCCCATCCCAAAAAAACATTCAATGTCAGGTTGGACAGGGCTCTGAGCAACCTGACATACAGTAAAAATACATAGTTAAAGATGTCCCTGCCCATGGCAGAGAGGTTGGAATTAAATGCCCTTTAAACACCCCTCCCACCCCACATCTTTTTATTATTCCACGAGGTCTCCTATGGCTGTGAAGTTTAGGGTGGTGGGAGCTGACACCCAAGATCAGGTATCCCAAGATCTGTCTGGAAAAGGAAGGGGAAATCCTCACCCCCGTGGGATTTCTTCCTCCCTAACCCCCCTTCTCCCTGGCTTTATCCTGTGTACAGCAGGTCCATAAATAGGACACAGGCACGGGACTGGCAGGACGGATTCCCACTGGCCGTGGGTCACGTGCAGCCCAACCACAACAACCCCAGGGGCCCTACAGCAGCAAAAAGCTGCTGGTTTCCTCCCTCACCCCCTGTCCCAGCTGATCTGAGCAGCAAAACTTCCCCTGGCAGCGTTATCAGCTGATGCTTCCCCCAGCACCGCTATCTCCTCCTCACACCTCAAACCTCAGGGCTGTGCAAACCCCAGAACAGCAGCCCCAAAACCAAAATTGCATCACAGCTGCTGCGCCCCAACAACATCTGCCCCCCACTTTGTGCACAGCAAACAGGGCAGAGGAGTTTCCCCAGGAACCCCAGCAGATCCTTTCCTTCTGCATCCCCCAACATCTCCAGAGGTGCCTCAGCTTCAGGATAACCCTTGCTAAGGCTGATCCACAGCTCCCATCCCGCCAGCCTGGAAACAGAAACAAGGCTGTTGGGCTTGTCAACTTCACCCTACAGAATTCCCCAGGGGGCAGGAGGATGTCTGGGGCTTGCAAAGAGACCCGCAGGTTGCTCCACCTTCCCCTGGACTGAGAGCAGGGAATACTTGGAGCTCCAAAGCATCTGCTCATGCCATTTCTTGAAGGATGAGCAAGAAATAAACACCCACCAGCACACCTGACCCTGGATGGGACAGGACACATGATTCAGCCAGCTGGTCGCTTAGAAAGAGGAAATTTGGGCCAGCTGAGTGCAGCCCCTCTATCAGGCAGCGAGGAGGAGGAGGCAGCGAGGCCGAAGGCTCTGCAGGAGCTGCTGGGAGCAGCTGCAGCCTGCGAGGGAGGAGAGCAGCCGAAGGGCTGTGGCTGTGCTGGTACTGCAGCATCCACCCACAGCCCTGTGTGCTGCCGCAGAGGAGGAGGAGGAGACAGCACCCAAGTGCCATCTCCATCCCTCCTGACCAGATCGGGCAGCAGGGCAGCTCCCTGCCTGTTTTCTCGTGGACAGAGCTCCTGATATCCCAATCTTCAGCAGGATCCCACATCACCCTCCCAGCAGCCAAGGCAGACACACGTTCGGTGCCCACAGCAGCGAATCCCTTCACCTTTGCACCACAAAGGTCTCCTTCCCCAAAACAAAGCCCACGAGTCCCACTTAACTTCATTCAAGAAAAAGCAACAGCCCAACCCCCAAACCGGCTATTCGGAGCCCAGCTCACATGACTCAGGCGAGGCAGGTCAGCCCAGAGATAAGTCACAGCCCTGGAGCATCTCCCAGCTCCTGCCCTGTCTGGGCCAACCCCCTGCAGGCACAGACGGAGGCATCCACACCTTCTCCAAGGCTCTGAGGAAGGGAAAAGCTGTCCCACCCTCCTTTCTACAACACCCCCCAGCCCTGCAGGGCCAGGGGTGCTCAGCACAGCCCAAATCATGTGTCCTGCCCAGCACCAGCCTTTAGCCTGGGCTGAGCTTTGTCCTTTGTTCTCTTTGCCAGGGCTTGTGACTCCAAGCCACAACAAAGCAAAGCCAGGAAGGTTCAGCTCCAGCTCCCGATCCAGCTCAGCCTGCTGCGTCACCAGGTGAGCTCCAAAGCCGAGGTCTGGTGACTTCATCACAGCTCTCGCTGCATTACCAAAGCTTGAATTGTATTTTCATCAAGAAAAAAAAACAAAACAAAAAACAACATGAGGCGCTCCTCCCCATGCTTATTCCCTTCTAGCAAAGCCAGATCACTAACACAGGTCAGATAACAGAATCCTAGAGAGGTTTGGGTTGGGAGAGATCCTAAAGGTCATCTAATTTCAACCCCACTAGACCTGGCTGTTCTGTATCTGACAAAATAATTCTCTCCTGAGCCAAGCTGCAGCACTCACCTCTGCAGCTTCCATGCACAGAAAGCACAAGATTCCTCCCAAATGAAGCTGCACTGATTTTTCTTTTTTTTTTTTCCTGTTATTCTTACAGACCAATCCATAAACCAGCCCCCAGACACCCTGTCCTACGGAAATCCCTTCCCTTCGAGGGAAATGCCAAAAGGAAGCGATCTTTGCTACATCACCATGCCGGCAGAGCATCCCTGAGAGTGGGATACTTGGATGAGAGATTCATTCCAGGCCGGAGGGACCCACGGCAGCTTCTCCAGCGCCATTCCCAAGCCACGCTCCTGGTCCAAACCCAGGCTGGGCTCTGCATCACGGGATGCTCCCAGGCTGCCAAACCGACCCCGGCGTCAGCTGACGAGCAGGGCTGCGCTGTTTTTCCTGTCTCTATCATAAAAACAAGGCTTCCTCTCTCCTCCCCTGACCTTCCTTGAAGGTTTGATGCCTTTTGAGGCCTCATTTTCCCTGCCACAACCTCCTCCGCAGCGCATCCCCTTCCCTCACCCCGCATCCCGCACCAACCACGGACAAAAATCCCCCAAAACGCCGCTGGAAAAAGCGGGAGACGCTGCTGCTGCTGTCCCATGGCCCTCACGGAGCCGTGCAAGGCGGTGCCACATTTCCCGTGTCCCCTGCCCCTAAGCATCCCCTCCCTTACCGCTCCTCGCTGCGCTTCTTGTGCGCGTCGCCGGCACCCACCGGGACTCACCGGGACCCACGGGCACTCACGGCCCCCGCTCTATGGCCACGGCCAGGGCAGCTCCCGGAGGCTGAGTCATGCCCGGCCGGCCCGCCCCCGGTGTGACAGCATCCTGCCGGCTGCCCGCCCCCAGAGCCCGCCTCCCTCCCTCCCTCCCTGCTTCCATCCATCCCTCCATCCCTGCTCCCGGCTCCATCGCTGCTCCTCTCTGCTCCCCTCCATCCTCCCCTCCTTCCTCATGCCTGCTTCCCTTCTGCCCCCACCCCTGCTCTGCTTCCATCCCGACATCCACCCCACCTGGTTTTCATACCTCCACCCTGGCTGCATCATTCCTCACTTCACCTCCAGCCCACCTGTGTGCCTCCTCCAGCCTGCCTCTGACCTTCCTCGATCCTACAGGTGTTCCTCCCTCTGCCAACCCGTCCTGTATCCTCCCGTCTTTCTCCCTTCCTGCCGTGCTCCATCCCCGTTTCGCTTTCATCTTCCAATCTTCCAGCATTCCTCCTCAATCCCACCTTTATCCCTGCTTAGTCCCATCCACATCCTTCCTGCTTCCTTCCTCCATCCTCTCTCTAGCCCATCTAGTTTTCCTCCAGCAACCTGTATGGATTTTTCCTGAATCCCACCTCATCTGACCCTTTGCTATCCCATCTCCATCCTGCCTCTATACCTTTTCCTTCGTGTCTCTCTCCTCCAGCTGGTCTCTTTCCCATCTGGTTTTCCTCTTCCAACCTGCCTGTATCCTTCCTAAACCCTCCTGCATCCCACACCCATCCCTTTTCAGGTCCACCCTGCATCACACAGGTTTCCCAGAGAATCTGTGATTGCCCCTGGATCTCTGGAAGTGCCCAAGGCCAGGTTGGACAGGGCTTGGAGCAACCTGGGATAGAGGAAGGTATCCCTGCCCATGGCAGGAAGTGGAATGGGATGAGCTTTAAGGTCCCTTCCCACCCAAACCATTCTGGGCTTCTGTGATCTTCCTGCTTCCCTCCTCCAGCTTGCCTCTATCCCATCTAATTTTCCTACTCCACCCTCCTTGCACCCCACCACTATCCTGTCCCCATGCCACCTCTGTCCTGCCAGCATCCCTTGAAGTTTTCATCTGGAAATACAGAAATATTTCACTGTGTTGCTGTGCTGACTGACTCTTTTCCCCTCATTTTGGCCAATTTTCGGGAGTATGAACAACAGAAAAATAATCTCAGGACCCAGTTTCAAGCCCTGTTCTAAACCACAATGATGCTGAAGTTTCTCTTTAATGAGAAAAAACATATATTTTTATTATTTTCTCACCATTCTCTGTGAGGAGGAAGGAAAAAACTATACACCCCACCATTCTCAGAAATGAAAAGACCATATGGCCTAGAACCAAAAATAATTAATCAGTGATCAAAAAACCAGTGAGCATATTCCTTCCCCCCCCCCCCCCCCCCCCCCCCCCCCCCCTT